GCTGCCAAGGCTCGGCGTCTGAGCTGTGTGGGCCTGAAGGGGCCCCAGCTTCAGGGAGAGATAAGACATCTGAGCAAGATCTCAAAGGGAAGCGGCAGTAGAATGAAGCTCAGCTGGATATGAACATGAAAGCCAAGGGGAAGGAAGGAGGCCCCGGATGGGACGGAGTCAGAGAACAGAGGAAGGGCCTGGTCTGAAGAGGAAGCTGCTGTGGGCAGTGTGGGGACAGGTTCAGTTCCGGTGACAGAGAGAAAATCTCAAGGAGAAGGGCTTGGAGCTCCAGAGACGGGGGTGGCGTGGAGGAGAGACTCTGGGTAAGAAAGGCAAAAGGGGGACTTCCCCGGTGGTGCAGGGGTTAAGACTCTGGGTCCCGATTGCAGGGGGCACAGGTTCAATCCCTGGTCAGGGAAGTTCCACTTGCCTTGCAGCACAGCCAAAAAAAAAAGAGAGAGAGAGAAAGGAGAAAGCTGGAGAAGAGAGGACTCAGAGTGAGGGGGCTGGAGTGGAGGGGAGGCCAGGGTACTAGGTACCCCAACATTAGGTCTACAGCTATGGCTAGTCCTGGGAGAGACTTGGCCCCTCAGATTTAAGTTTAGGAGGATCTTTGGGGGACATTGGAGAAGGAAATGGCAGCCCACTCCAGTATTCTTGCCTGGAAAATTCCATGGACAGAGGAGCCTAGTAGGCTACAGTCCATGGGGTCGCAAAGAGTCGGACACGACTGAGTGACTAAACTTGGGGGAAACAGCAAGTTGGGTAGCATGGCCCAGGCCTCTGGGGCCAGCTACAAGTTGATAGAGGCCCTGGCAGAGGAGGGCAAGCAGGCAGAGGAGGGTGACAGGCAGAAGGCAGGAAAGGGACAGGGCTGGTGGAGTAGGGGAGGGGCCTGCGAACAGGAAGGTGCCCCGGGACCCAGTGGCAGCAGTGGCCAGAAGCACCTGGATGGACTGTCCCCACTAACCCAGCAGAGGGCACTCTGTCCATGCCAAGGACACCACAGGGTCACAGGCACAGGCCAACACCGGGGGAGAGGGGCAGAGGGACCAGGATTCCATCCTGGAGCTTTCCAGTAATTAAAATATTTTTAGGGACTTCCCTGGTGGTCCAGTGGTTAAGAGTCCCAATGCAGAGGGCATTGGTTTGATCCCTGGTTGGAGAACTAAGATCCCCCATGCCACATAGTGTGGCCTTAAATATATATATACATATTTTTTTAAAGGATAAAAAATATGTATATATATTAAAGGATCCCAAGATCCTGGAAGGAGGGACTGACTTGGGGCAGGCAATACTCCATTCCTTCATTAAGCCAGTGAGGTAGTATCTGAACAGTACTTAGAACCTCCTCCATACATGGTGACCCTTATGGCTACAGTTATTATTATTCTATGCTATACCCTGTGTTAAGTGCTGGGGCAATGTTTGATCAACTGGGCAAGAAAGTTCCCTAAGGCTCAAGGAACTCGATGTGGGAGACACACAACACTCAGCAGGATTAGGGCCTCAACATGGGAGGTCTGGGAGGGCTTCCTGGAGGAAGGGGCTTCTAAGCTGACATATGCAGGTCAACCAAGGGCTGACGACGTTTTTTGTTATTTGAAAAAAAAGATCATCAGGACAGAGTGTTTCACGGAATGAAAGCAACTGTGCAGATGGAAGGATCTCAGGCAGGGTTGGCAGATCAGCAGTAGAACTTGGTGGTTGTTATTCTTAGTGATGTGTTGCAATTGTGTTATTCAATACTAATTGTTTAGTTGCTAAGTTGTGTCCACCTCTTTGTGACCCCAGACTGTAGCCCACCAGGGTTTTCTGTCCATGGGATTCTCCAGGCAGGAATACTGGAGTGGGTTGCCAGTTCCTTCTCCAGGGGATCTTCCCAGACCCAGGGATCCAACCCACGTCTCTTGCACTAGCAGGCGGATTCTTTACCACTGAGCCACCAGGGAATCCAACTACTGACTACTTAGAATTAATTCCTAAAGGTTTATGACTTTGAGCAGCTGCCTCCCTCTCTCTTTGAGCAGATGCCTCAGTTTGCTTCTCTGAGTCCCTGGTCGCCCACTCCTCATTTTACAGCTGTAATATGCTCTAAGAAAACAGGGCCTGATGACCAGGCTGCACCCTCAGACCAACCCTTGGGGCCCAGTCACAGAGGAAGGCTTCGGGGATGACCTGGGGTAGGCATAGACCCTAGTTCTGAGCCCTGCAGCCACAGTGACTATGCCCCAGTCTGGTGGGAGCTTTATTCTGAAGACGTACCCAGCATCTGGGATGGTGGAGGGGGTTTGCCCACAGCCCTCTGAGTCTCTTCTTGTTGAGCAGAGGTCGAAGATTAGAGTGAGGCTCCCCAGAAGACAGTGGGGTCCTGGGAAACCTCGTTTGACTTTTCCAGAGAGGGTAAGAGCCTCCAGGAAGCCCCTGGGCATTGAGTCCCTGGGTAGGGCCAGAGTACCTGCAAATGGGGTGGAGGGCTACACCCAGCCTGTTCTGAGTACCCGGGGTAGGTATAGTCAAGTTCCCGGTTTCGGGTGAGATTCCTGGGACAGGGTGTCAAGTGAGAGTCCTCGACTTTGTGCAGAAAACAAGCCACAGTAAAGTGGAAGCGAGCCTATTTAGAGAAATAACACATTCCATAGACTGAAAGAGGTCCCTCTCAGAAGGTGAGAGTGGTTCTGGTGTATGGGTTGTTCATTTTTATAGGTTGGTAATTTCTAACAAGTAGGAGGATTATTCCCACTATTTTGGGGTAGAGGTGGGGATTTCCAGGAATTGGGCCACCACCTATTGTTTTGGTTGGCCTTGGAACTATCTTGACACCTCTGTTGTTTAGCGTATGCTAATGTGTTACAATGAGCACATAATGAGGCTCAAAGTCTATGAGAAGTTGGATCTTCCCCCATCTCCGTCCTACTTGGTTCTAAGTAGTTTTTTTGTATTCTCAACGGCTGAGTCATTTGTGTGTGTGTGTATGTGTGCATGTGATTGGAATGATTGTACCCTGCCCCCCCCCCTCCTGTCTCACTGCCACCCAGTACTAGGCCAAGCTGAGATAAGGGGGATCCAGATGGTGTAGACCCTGGAGTGTGACCCTCTTTTGTCCCCTACACAGGACCTCTCAAATCCTGACACCATCCCTTTGGGACCATGGGATAAACCTTAATCCCCTCCTCCCAAGGTTTGTATCCAGGGAACCTCAGGCTAAGATGAACATCCCCCAAGTAAGAGGCAATCCCAGCCCTGTGACTGTGGCCAAGAAAATGAACCACAGGCACAGATGTCTAAGGTATGACTCACAACTCGATACAGTATCTCTTACCTCATTCACCCAGAAGTTAAGCTATCCCAGTGGGTGGGAAGTGGTATCTCACTGAAGGTTTGGTTTGCATTTCCCCTGATGAATAATAATGTTGAGTATTTTTTCAATGGGCTTGTTGGCCATTTGCATATCTTCTTTGGAGAAATATCTATTCATATATTTCACCCATTTTTAATGAAATTATTTGTCTTTTTACTGTTTGTAAAAAGTATTTGTAAAAATTAGTTGTCTTTTTATGGTTGAGTTGTGAGAGTTCTTCATATATTCTCAATGCAGGTCCCTTATCAAATATATGATTTGCAAATATTTTCTCCCACTCTGAGAGTTATCTCTTCACTTTCCTGATGATTTTGGAGCTGCACCATGCAGCATGCAATGATCTTAGTTCCTTGACCAGGGATCGAACCCATGGCTCCTGCAGTGGAAGCACAGAGTCTTAGACTGTCAGGGAAGTCCAATTTTTTTGCCATCCAATTTATGTGTTTTTTTTCCCCTTTGTCACTTGTGCTTTTGGTTTAGTGTCGAAGAACCCATTGCCTGATCCAAGGTCATGAAGAGTTACTGCTATGCTTTCTTCTAAGAATTTTTACAGTTCTAGTGTTGTTTTGTTTTTTCTCTTTCAACGGTATGAGGTAGCAGTCCAACCACATTCTTTCACATGCAGCTATCCAACACTGTTTGCTGAAAAGACTTCTTCCCATCCTTTACTGTCTGAGCACCCTGATGGAAAATTAACTAACTGTAAATGTAAGGGCTTATTCTCAATTCTATTTCACTGATCTATATGTCTACCCAGTAGTAAGTACCACACCATCTTGATTCCTGTAACTTTGCACTAACTATACATTTTAAACAATACATATCAAGGCTTGGCTAGGTGGGAGAGGAGCGCGTGCGGAGGTGGGGGCCCTCTTACCCGCTCCTAGGGCTGAGGGGTCCACCCTCTTCTCTGCTCCCCGACAGCTGCCTGCCCGGCCTCCCCTGGATGTGGCATTCAAAGCTCTAGGTTTAAACTGGAAGAAAGCTAAAGCCTCGTAAGAAGGAACCCTGCATCCTGGCCGCCCACGCGACTGCTGCCGGGAGGTGCCTTCTCTTACCCCAGGCTTTCTGCCTTCCACTCCCGGGGCCCCGGAATCAGAGCGGGAAAATCAACAAGCTGGACAGTGAGCAGGTGGGCTACGCCAATTACTCGTTAATTACATACCAATGCGCCCCTAGGCGCCGGGAGCCGGGTCGGGGCTGCTGGAGTGGTACGGACCACTCGGAGGAGGGGGCGAGCTAGCGAGCAGCGGTGTCTGCCCGCCCCCGCCTCCCCGCTGCCCCGGGCCTGGCCCCGAGGCCTCCCGCCCGGCTCCCGAAGACGCGGAGGTGGTCCCGCCCACCCGCGCCCTGCCCCCGCCCCTTGGTCCCCGCTGCCGCCAGGCGTCCTGCCGCCTCCTCCGCGGGCGGGCCGGGCCGCAGGAAGCCGCGCTCGGCGGGAGTGGAGCCGCCCCTCCGCCGGGCCTGTGCGAGCCGGTGAGCAGGCTCCCCAGGCCCCTCCAAGACCCCCGAGGTGTCTTCCCGCGCCGGGGTCCCCGTGGGCGCCGTCGCGGACCCGCCCCGCCGGGGGCCTCCGGGGCCCTTTCCCAGCCTGTTGGGGGTGAGGATCCAGAAAAGTTCCTTGTCCGGATCCCACGGGCAGCTCCAGCCTGGGATGGCTGGGGACCCCCATGGCCTGGCGGGTGAGGGGACAGGCACCACCCAAGGCCTGGGCTGAAACCTCCACGGGGGACGCTGCCTGGACGTCCCAGAAGCCCCACCCAGAGGAGATCCGCCGTGAGAGGGAGGGTGGGAAGCAAGCCCTGTGGAAACTGATCCGGACGGCAGGGAATGTGCCAGGGTGGCAAGAGGTCATGAGGTTCCCGCTGCCTCGCCCATCCCCCTTCCTGGCCGTGGTCAGCCGGGGCCCCTGTCTGGGTGGTGGGGGCACCTTTGGAGGCAGAGAAGGGAGGAGGGTGACCTGCTCCAGCTGGCCCACCTCTGGAACCGCCTTCTTCCTTCCCCGGGCTCCTGCCAGGTCCAGGAATTTGAGGGCTTGTCCACCGCAAGCTCAGGCTGGCTCGCGCTGCTCCCCTGTCTGGCAGGAACCTCACTCCTGCCTGTCCTCTGCGCTGGGCTTCAGGCTGGGCATCCTGCCTGGTGTGGAGCCTGGGGAGGGAGGGGGTCTCCAGGGTCTGGCCATCCTTCTGCTGTCAGTAAAGCTGACGGTTCCTTGTTTTCCTCTCACCAGCTCTTCCACCAGGAGAAGAGAGGGAGGTCCAGGGGAGGCCCTTGCACGCCAGGACCCTAACCCCAGACCCCTGCGTGAGAGCATCACTGCCCTTTTTTGACTGTACCTGCAAGCTCGGGGCGGGGGGCGGGGATGGATTCTGAGGGCCTGGCCAGTCTCCTGGCATGAGATGGGAAGCCCTAAAAAACAGACTGGGCACTGTGTGTCATGGGAGAAGGACAGGAGATGTCATCTGAACTTCCGTCCATACAGCCAGCTTTGGGTCACCTGGGCATGAAGACGGTCGTTCTCTCTGGGCAGCAGGTCCCGTGGTAAGCTGCTCACCTCCAGTCCCGGGAAGTGAGAGTGAAGCAGCTCCAGCCCCATCTCCCTCCTTGCCCCAACCACAGGCCAGGCGGTGATCATGACTCCTGGTTCCAGGTACAAAGGGAAGACGGCTTCTCTGCCGGGGCAGAGGCGGAAGCAGAGCCCACACTGCTGTTCTGTTCCGCTTGAGTCTTCTGGAATGGACCTGCCTGCCCGGAAACCAGCTCACCCTTGTTCCTGGGCTTGCCCGCCCCCCCGGGGAACACAGGTGAGTCACATTGATATTACCTTTTGTGCTCAGGTGGAGGCCAGGTGGGCGGCTGTGAACAGGTCCCTCCCTGCTCTAGCGTGGAAGAGGGAGGAGAAGTGCAGGTGACAGCGATAAACATGGAAGGATCCACTCCAGTTTGGTGTGAAAACTACTATTAAGGAGAGGAGTTCAGGAAAGGGGCTAGAGTTGGGGGTCAGCATAGCTTCGTGGAGATGCCGCTGGGGCTGACTCTTGAAGGACCGACTGGACTTCTCTCTGGCTGAGGATTTTGGAATCTCGGCAACCAAGTTCCCGAGGAGGGACCAGCTGGCTCGGGGAGGGGGTGCTGGAGGACCAACAGGAGAGAAAAGCTATGCGTGTGACCTGGGAGTTGCATGGGGGCTGTATGGGAGGGCACAGCCTCCTTGGAGAAGGCCGAAGTCTGCAAGCCAGCTCCTAGAGGGGGGCCAGGGTAAAGAGAGAACAGAGGTGCTTGGGGTTTCCTGGGCTCTGATTGTCCCCGGAGGCCTGGAGGGAGGAGAAACCAGCTCCACTGAAAGATTCCGAGGGAAGGTAGGTGCAGGGTGAAGGTCAGAAGTCTGGACAGAGTTCACTGGAGGGGGTGCTCAGAGGAGTAACTGCTGATAAGGGCACCAGAAGCCTCTGCATGGAGGGGCAGGAGGCAAGGGTGAAGGAGAGGGGACCAGAGCCGAGCAGTGGGGTTGGGGGCCCCCACGTGTCTCCTCTCCCGTCTTACTTCTCCCTGCCACCTCTGGTCAGAGACAGCCTGCTGCTCTGAAGGGGCTTGGGGGTGCCGGGGGTGGGGCGCTGTGGTGAGACCTGCCGGAGGGAAGGCTGGTGGCCCTTCTGGGAGGAAGGTGAAAAGTGGCAAGTCCAGGAAGACGGAGGGGTCCGGGTGTGTGGAGGCAGGGTGAGCACTGGAGCAGGGTGGGGAGACTTAGCATTCACAGGCGGGATCAGGTGGCATCCGTGGCCTTTCTCCTTGCTGAGGGAAGAGAAATCCTGGTAGGGGTGAGAGCCAGTTTGCTGGAAGGGGATCTGAGGTTTGCCCCCAAGCTTGGGGCCGAGCCGGAGAATCGGGGCTGGGGTAATCTCTAGGGCCAGTGTCACGTGCAGGAGCCAGGAGAGCAGGAGGTGTTTCCAGCCCACACACAGGACTCAAGGTCATGCACACTCACACTCACACTCACTCACTCACTCACACACACTCACTCTCCCAGGCTAGGATGAATGAGGTACTCACCATGGCAGGGCCCCTGGAGGTCCTCTGGGGAGGGAATAGGCCTATGCCAGAGAAAGGTTAGGGGTTGGAGCCCAGGAAGGAGGCAGTTAGGCTGGATCCAGCTTGGGTGCTGTGTTGAAGCTCCAGGGCCTGTGGGGAAGGTGTGGGGTGCTGGGCTGGGCAGGAAGAGGGGTTTCATATTTCTGATAGTTTCCTGAGTTTCCATGGATCTTCAGGGCCTGGGGCAGAAAGGAGGCAGGCTGTGGGAACAGGAGCTCCCAGGACTGCTCCTACTGCCTGGCGTGGGTGAGGTCGGGGCCCCTGCAGGCCTGGGAGCAGGGGCAGTCAGGATGGAGGGACTGGAAAAAGGGCTTTGCATTTGGGGATGAGGCTGGGCGTCAAGGCCTGGATAAGGCAGCTTCTGTGATGGGGGCAGTGACCCTGGTGGTGGCGAGGAACCAAGGTAGGACTGAGCCAAAGATGTGAGGGTGTGTGTGTTTGCATAGCCTGTGACCGTGTTTGATTGTGTGTGTCTGTTTGTCTGTGTAGCATGTGTCTGTCTGTCTCTGGGCTTGCCTCACTGTCTCTCTAGGTGTGCTTCTGCATATGTGTATGTCTGAGCATGTATATCTCTGTGTATGTCTATGCCCTCCTGAACAAACGTGTGACTGACTGTGTGTGTCCATGTGTCTCTGGATTTTTCTGTGTGTAAGTGTGGGTCTGCATGTAACTCTGTGTGCCTGGGTGATTCCATGTGTTTCTCTCTGCCTGTCTATGTGGTGTGTGTCTGTCTATGTGTCTGTGTGTGTATCTACGTACGTGCATGTCTGTGTGTGTAACTGTGCCCATCTGTGTGAATGGGTATCTTCCTATGCATTTCTGTGTGACTGTGTATGCACCGGTGTCACATATGTTTGTGTGCTTCGTATGTCTGTGCTGTGCACCTTTCTGTACATTCATGTGTGACTGTGTGTGTTCTCTGTGCTGTGTGTTATGTTTTATGTGTGTTACATGTGTGTGTTATGCGTGTGAGTTGTGTGGTATGTGTGTTGTGTCTGTGTTGTGTGGTGTGTGTATCTGTGCTGTGTGTGTATGTGCGGTATGTGTATGTGTGCTGTGTGTGTGTGGTATGTGGTGTGTGTGCATTGTGTGGTATGTGTGCTGTGTGTATGGGATGTGCTGCGTGCATGTGGTATGTGTTGTGTGTTGTGTGNTGTGGTGTGTGTGGTGTGTGTGTGTGTGTTGACAGGGGCGCTGCAGGGAGCCTGGGCTCCGCTCGGCGGACGCCGTGCTGTGGGGCGCCTTGTGCCGCGGCTGCCTGCTCGGCCGCCCGGCCCGCTGGCTCCCGGGCCGTCAGCGTGGCTCTGACAGTGAGCCTGGCTGTGCCTGGGGCGCGAGAAGCAGGACGGCTGGTCGGGACGTTTAGAGAGGCGTCACTGTGTGCCTGTGCGGCCCCAGGGCTGAGCGGCTCCAGACGGCGGCTCCTCTCCCGGCAGTTACCGCGCTCGGGCGCCGCGGCCTCGGCTGGGCTGGGCGGGCAGCCCCACCTGCTGACCCCTAGATGACGGCACAGCTGGAAAGCGTCCCCCTCCCCCCGCCCGGGCCCACAGTGGCTCACCTGCCGGCCCCTCCTGTCCCTCCTGCCAGGCTGGCTCTGAGAAGTAGGGGAAAGGCGATGCCAAGGCCAGTGCATGGGCTTCTGGCCACCTCCCAGGGGGCGGCGCCCCTCTGCTGAACCCGGTGCCAGGGTGAGAGGAAGGGACGGGTCCAGCCGCCCAGGCACAGCTGGCAGCTCCCTTCTGTCCCTTCCCCAGGCAACCCGGGCGCCGGTCAGGCTGTGGCCGCAGCACTCGTAGCCAAGGATGCCCCAGGCCTTGAAGCGCTCCGAGGGCTGCTGGGCCTGGGTGGTGCTGCTGGCCTCCGTGGTGACGCAGGGCCTCACTCTGGGCTTCCCCACGTGCATCGGCATCTTCTTCACCGAACTGCAGCGTGAGTTCCAGGCCAGCAACAGCGAGACCTCCTGGTTCCCCTCCATCCTGACAGCCATGCTCCATGCAGGGGGTGAGCAGGACGGGGAGGGACTGGGTGTGGGCTGGGATGCGGGGAGGGATGAGAAGGAGCCCTGGGGGGAAGGGAGGCAGCCACAACCTCTCTGGCCTCCTGGGTCCCTCTCTCTGGGGCCACAGGTTTTGCCTGGTGCTGTGAATTCCTGGGATGTCATCTTGATTTCAGCAGGGCCAGTTCCCCCGCCCAGGATCCTGTGGGGCTGGGCTGGGTTGGACTGGGCCGGGGAGGGGCACAGGGCAGGGAGGCCCCCAAGATGTAAAGCCGGTCCTCCTGATGAGTGTGGGAGGATCAAGCCAGACCTGGGGTCCCGCCAGGTCTGAGAGCTCGGGCAGTAGAAGCAGCCCTCATCAGGGCTTCAGGACAGGAAGCAGGGCTGGAGAAGGACCCCAGGAGCAAGAGGGGGCAGAGTGAGAACCCCATCTCTGACCAGGAAGCAGAGGGCTGCGGAGATGGAGGGTGGTCCCCTCGGTTCCTGGTTGCCTTCTCCAGAGATGCAAAGGGCTCACCTTGACCCCAGGGAAAGGGAAGGGGGCCCAGGTGGGTTCTCCATGGTAGCCTTGGGCTCGCAGGCCTGCCCCCCGACTCCTGGGAGGTCTCCAGGGAGACTCCATGGGCAGTGACCTCTGGGGGGGCTCGACTGGACAGCCCACCGGGCTCTCCCCACCCCTGGTTGCCTGTCTCAGGTGATCCATCTCCCTGCCCTCCACTGGCACCAGGAAGGAAGTCAGACCGCGCTAGGAGCCACCTTCACTGACATGACCCTCGAACCTGCTACTTGGGACACGGGCTCGGGGCAAGGAGCAAGGCCAGGCCTGGCTCAGACCACACAGCCTTTCAGCCAACAAGCATGGGCAGAAGCGTGAATCTCAGATGGCCCCTTCTCTGCAACCGGAGAGGGGTCTGGGCCAGAGACTAGGAACCGGGCATTCAGTGGGGACCCTGCTCTCCAGCCAGCTTTAGACTCACACCCAGAAGGCATGCCAACATTCCTGTCGGCCCAGGACTCCTATGTGTCTGTCTTACATACACACACACACGCCTTTAGTCTATGCTCATTCGGAGTATTGTGGAAATTTTAAACTTGAAAGTATCCTTGATCCTAAGTACCCCCCAAACCCACACATTTTAGAGATGAAGACAGCCAGCACGGAGTATCCGAGGCCTTGCCCATGCTATAGGGTGAGTTTGGGGCAGACACCGTGCCCATGCAGAGGGAACATTTGCCTTCCAGTGCCCCACCCCAGCACCCTCTGCTCTCTCAGCTAAGCTGGCACACATCCCAGCCCCCGCCCCACACACGATGACTCAGGGTTTTCCCCAATGTCACCTTTCCAAAGTCAGGTCAAAGTATGGAGGTGGGAAAGATGTATGGGTCAGCGGTCATGTCCATTTCAAAGCCTCGCCTCTCCCTCTGTGGCTGCCTCTCCTTGATTACCTCTGAGGATGGGCCACTCACTTCCGCTATTACTCCCACGCTCAGACTGGCTCACACCCACACCAAGCAGCCGAACTCACACTGCGTATACACACACACTTTCTCTGTCCCTTTGGCTGCGCTCTGGGAGAGTTAACTCTGGAGAAACTCTATGTATTTGGGAGGGCAGGGCGGTGCGGAGCAAGGTGTTTGGCGAATGGGGCCCTGTGAGGTGTCAAGGATCTGCCAGCCAGGACTGGCTCACTTCTACTCTGGGTCTGCACTGATGAGAAAGCAGCTCAGGGTAAAGGTGGGGGAGGACAGGCCCCTCTCCACCAGAAGCCAAATGTCTAGTGATGCAAGACTTCGGTGGGGGCTGGAGGGAATGGGGGATGGGAGAAGGTACCCCACCCACTTTTCTCCAGAGGCCGGAGCGAGGGGATGCAGGGTAGCCCAAGGCCCCGGTTGCCCACCCTGAACAGATTGAAGGATGGTGGGAGGACTGCAGCTAGTCCTCCTGAGGATGGAAGAGTGGGGAACGGGGACTAGAGGTGCTCACCGTGATGTAGCTGCCCTGGGACTGTGGTCCACTGAGACCGACCCCTGCGAGGGGCATCCACCCAGGTCACGATTTCACCCAGATGGATGCAGCCTCTGATCAGTGCAGTGGAGAGCCTTAGTCTGTAACTCTGGGGGTCCTGGTCAGGGTCAAATTGAATATTTGCAGCACCTCACCTCACAGCTGCTCAGACATCACCCAGCCTGACCCCTCAGCCTCTGCAGGAGGAAACCAAGGCCTAGAGAGGGACTGGCCGTGCTCGGCCTGTAGACAGTCTTGAGCAGGATGGGGATCAGGACCAGGCTTGTGTGTTCCAGGACTTGTGCCTGTGCCTTTTTTTTAATTGAGGGCTTCCCTGGATGGTTCAGTGGTTAAAAAAAAAAAAAAAATCCACCTGCCAATGCGGGAGACACAGCAGATCCAGGTTCGATCCCTGGGTCAGGAAGATCCCCTGGAGGAGGAAATGTTAGCCCACTCCAGTATTCTTGCCTGGGAAATCCCATGGACAGAGGAGCCTGGCAGGCTCCAGTTCATAGGTTGCAGAGTCAGACACAACTGAGTGATAGCACGCACGCATTTATTATTTCTTTTTGGCTGTGCTGTCTCTGTTGCTATGCAAGCTTTGCTCTAGTTGTAGCGAGTGGGGGCTCTTCTCTAGCTGCTGTGTGCGGGCTTCTCAATGTGGTGGCTTCTCTTGTGGAGCACAGGCTCTAGGGTACACTGGCTTTGGTAGTTCAGGCTCCTGGGCTGTAAGCACAGGTTCATTGCTCTGTAGTTGTGGTGCATGAGCTTCATTGCTCCACGGCATATGGGATCTTCCCGGATCAGGGATTTGAACCCGTGTCTCATGCATTGGCAGGCGAATTCTTTACCACTGCGCCCCCAGGGAAGCCCTGGGGCTTGTGCCCTTTAAGCCACCTGCTAGTTCCTCCTGGAACCCCCTCCTAAGCCCCCTCCCTTCCTCTGACCTCATCATCCAGCTGTCACCTGCCGCCTGCCCCCTCCCCACAGGCCCCCTGTGTAGTGTCCTGGTGGGACACTTTGGCTGCAGAGCGACGATGCTGCTGGGCGGCGTGCTGGCCAGCCTGGGCATGGTGGCCGCCTCCTTCTGCCGCACCCTCGGCCAGCTCTACCTCACGGCAGGATTCATCACAGGTGACTGTCATTCCATTTCGAGAGTTACTGGGTGAGTACTGGGTACGAGACTGAAAAGGGCCAGGCGTGGTGAACAGGGCAGGCAAAGCTTCGAATCCTCTGGAGCTGCTCACAGCCACTCGAGGCAGAGGAACAACGAACAGATAAGTAACGAGGGTCAATCCTGACAAGTGCCCAGGAAGACAGGGCAGCTGATGCCATAGTGTCCTTGTTCAGGTGGGGTTGGGCAGAGATTAGACAAGTATAGAGATGGAATAACTAAAACAGCCAGTGCAAAAGATATAGCAGGGTTGGGGGAGATTGCTGCTTTTTATTTTTTGGCTGTGCCTGAGGCTTGTCGGATCTCGGTTGTCGGACCAGGGATGGAACCCGCACCCCCTGCAGTGGAAGCGTGGAGTCTTTTAACTCTGACCACCAGGGAAGTCCCAGCTTGCTGCTTTCAGCAGAGCTGTCAGAGAAGGCCTTAGAGCAGAGAAGGTGACATTTGGCAAGAAGGAGGTAAGGCATCTGCCACCAGGCTCCCCGGGGAAGAACATTCCAGAAGGAGCAGTAAGACCAAAGGCCCAGGAATGCTCTTGGAGCACTGAGGACAACGATAGGATAGAAGTGAAAGTGAAAGCGTCCACCTCCGCAACTCCATGGACTGTATAGTCCATGGAATTCTCCAGGCCAGAATGCTGGAGTGGGTTAGGGGATCTTCCCAACACAGGGATCGAACCCAGGTCTTCCGCGTTGCGGGTGGATTCTTTACCAGCTGAGCCGCCAGGGAAGCCCAATAGGGTAGAAGGGCGTGAACAAAGGTCAAGGAGGTGGGGGGTGGGGCGGCGAGGCAGCAGGGAAGAAGGCCAGACAGGGTTTAGTTCCTCAAAGGCTTTGTAGTGAGATGGGAAGCCCAGTGAGGGGTTTGGGCAGAGGGACGTCATTCAGCCGCTATTTGTGAAGAACTAGGTACTACCCTGGGGACTTCCCAGGTGGTGCTAGTGGTAAAGAACCCACTTGCCAGTGCAGAAGATGTAAGAGCTGTGGATTCGATCCCTGGGTCAGGAAGATCCCCTGGAGGAGAGGGCATAGCAGCCCACTCCAGTATTCTCGCTCGGAGAATCCCATGGACAGAGGAGCCTGGTGGGCTACAGTCCATAGGGTCCCAAAAAGTCGGGCATGACTGAAGCAACTTAGCAAGCATGCACACAGGCAGTATCCTAGCTGTGGTGTTGTGAGCACACCACAGGAGGCTAGGCTGAGAGCAAAGAACAGATGGGGGAATGGTCATCACCCAGCCAGGAGGCGTCTGCAACCTTAAACCAGCGTGACGTGATGGAGGCTATGGGAAAGGGTCTCGTTCAGGATTGCAGGTGAGGTGCAGAGAAGGACATTAGGATGACCCAAGAGCCAAGGGTGATACCAAGGGTAGAATGGGAGAAAGGGGTGGCCACTAACTATGATGCGGACTCGAGGGGAAGAGCAGGTTCACGGGCGGGTGGGAAGCCCAGGTTTGGACACACCTGGTCCGGCCCTGAGCTGGAGTGGCCAGCTGGGGAGTCCTGAGACCCCTGGTATTCAGGTCTTGAGATGAGGTTATCACCCTGCTGTCACTAAGGGAATGAGGGAGGAAGGATGATAAAGACTGGGGTCTGGGGCCCAGGACACGGACACTCCAGTGGTTCGTGGCCTGGGCAGGAAGAAGTGACAGAGAGGTAGGAGGAGAACCAGGAGAGAGGGGTTTCTTGACAAAGGAAGTGAGGAAAGTGCTCCAGGAGGAGGAGGAGGGAGGGACCGTGAAGCCACTGATGGATCAGATTGAGTGGGCATCAGACTCCATCTGTGACTGTAATGTGGAGGGCGGCAGCCTTGATAATTCTGGAGCAGAGGTAAGGATGAAAGTCTGATTTTTTCAAAAGAGAACAATAGGGGAGTTGCCCGGTGGCCTAGGACGATTCTGGGCTTTCACTGCCATGGCCTGAGTTGCTTGGGAAACTGCAATCCCACAAGCCGTGTAATATTGCTGAAAAAAAAAGAAAGAAAGAACAGGAAGGAGGAAATTGAAGACAGTGGAGACAGGATTTCCAAGAAATTTTGATATAAGGGAGCAGAGACACAGGCCATTATCCAGAAGAGACTGGGGTCAAGAGAGAGTTTTGTTTTCACGGAAGAAATCACAGTGGAGGAGAATGATCTATTAACAGTAAAGAGGAGAAAATGGATGCGCCTGGGAGAGGGAAGTTGCTGGAGGGACGTGGGGCTGATAGGGCTTTATCATGGCGAGTGGCCTGAGATGGCACCCAGACGTGGCCAGGGGCCAGCCCGTGTAGAGCCTTCCAGGGCAGAGTAAATACTTTGGCTTTTTTCCTCCGTGTGAAGGGAAATCTCTGGAAGGTGTTAAGCAAGGGAGAGACTTCACCCAATTTGGGTGTTTGAACATCCCCTGGTGCCTTGCCCGTGGGATTTGTTCAGAGGGCAGATCTGATGGGGGGCGGGATGCTTCCAGGGAGGTGGTGTGGTGGGCTGATTTCACCTGAAACTCCTGGGCACCTGGAAGTGGGTCTGGGCTGGAACGGAAGGAGGACAGACCCGGGACGTGACCCCAGGGTCCCCATGCTGGGTGCGCCCTGGAGCTGGTCCCCCCCTCTCCCTCCACAGGCCTGGGCATGTGCTTCAGCTTTCAGTCGAGCATCACCGCACTGGGACTGTACTTCACCCGCTGGCGGGTGCTGGCCAACGCGCTGGCCTCAGCGGGTGTCTCCCTGGGCATCACGCTGTGGCCACTGCTCTCCCGTTACCTCCTGGAGGAGCTGGGCTGGCGAGGCACCTTCCTCATCTTTGGCGGGGTCCTTCTCCACTGCTGCGTCTGCGGGGCCGTTGTGAGGCCCGTGCCTGCCAGCGTGACCCTGGAGGCCAGAGAAGGCCTCCCCTCGCCTTCCAAGAGACCCTCGCGAGGCTGCCCAGCGGCGTGTGGCCGGGCCATCCAGCGCCACCTGGCCTTCGACGTCCTGCGGGACAACGTGGGCTACCGCGTGTACACACTGGGGGTTGTCTGGATGATCATGGGTTTCCCGCTGCCCCACATCTTCCTGGTCCCGTACGCTGTTCGGCACGGGATGGATGAACACAAGGCGGCCCTGCTCATCTCCGTCATCGGCTTTAGCAACATCTTCCTGCGGCCCATGGCTGGGCTGGTGGCGGGCCGCCGGGAGTTTGCGGGTCACCGCAAGTACCTGTTCAGCCTGGCGGCCCTGCTCAACGGGCTCACCAACCTGGTGTGCGTGGTGTCGGCCGACTTCTGGGTGCTGGTGGGCTACTGCCTGGTATATAGCGTGTCCATGAGCGGCATCGGTGCCCTGCTCTTCCAGGTCCTCATGGACATTGTCCCCATGGACCGGTTCTCCAGCGCCCTGGGGCTCTTCACCGTCCTGGAGAGCATCTCCATCCTCATCTCCCCGCCGCTGGCTGGTGAGGCTCCCTGGGAAGGGAAGGCAGGCACGGGGTGGCCTGGGCGGGGTGCGTGCGTGCCAGGTTGCTTCAGTTGTGTCCGGCTCTTTGTGACTGCATGGACTGAAGCCCGCCAGGCCCCTCTGTCCATGGGATTTTCCCAGCAAGAATACTAGAGTGGGTTGCTATGCCCTTCTCTAGGGGATCTTCCCAACCCAGGGATCAAACCCTGGTCTCTCGCATTGTGGGCAGATTCTTTACTATCTGAGCCCCCAGGGAAACCCCTATTTGTGATTGTCTCAATCACCTCGGGGGACTGGCCACAGCCTGTTCCCCAGCTGGCGATCATGGTATAAACAGTCAAAACTAAGGCTTTTGGTACCAGACCTACCTCAGTTTTTTGTCTTCCCCTCTGTGCCTCTGTTCTCATCAGCAAAGTGGGGATGACAATAGAATCCACCTCATAGGCTTGTTTGTGGGGATCACAGGTCATGCAGCAAAGAGGTCAGCAGAGAGCGTGGCACGTGATAGAAGCTATGTACGTGTCGTGTCTGCTGTTAACATCCCACTCCTCCCCGTTCCTGCCTGAAGGCCCTGGGCAAGTCATGCTCCTCCTGTGAGCCACAGTGTCGTCTGCAAAACGCAGATGAGAACACCTGCTGTGACTGTCCCCCCGTGCCACTCACCAGGTGGGCAGGGCTGGACACACAGCACTGGTCCCCACCGCTCAGGGCTCAGCCTCTGGTGGAAGAGTCAAGGGTTGGGGCAAAGAGGCACCTTTGCGATCATGGTGGTGATTTCGTGCTGGAAGGGAAGCAGACAGATACGGAAGCAGAGAGCCACTGGCATGGCCGTGCTGGGCAACTGAGTATGTGACATTCAGAGTGAAGGGGGAGGTGTGTGGAGCCTGCAGTGCTGTGGTTGGGGGGTAACAGTCGACAGACAGTGTGCTTATCACAGTCAGATGATGGGGACTTCCCCCCCCTCCCCCGCATGTGACACTGGGAGTCCCAGTTTTCAAGGGAGTTCTCCAGGGTTGACGAGCGGCGAGAGCTGACGAGGGCCCAGGGCATGGCCCAGGGCATGGGGTATCCTCCAGATACCCCAGACGCCAGGCCCTTGAGTCCTTGGCCGCCTGCCACTGAGGGAGAAGGAACCATGCCCTGAAGTGCTCTTCCGGCCCGAGGACTGGCTGCCCAGGCCAAGGCTGGTTTGCTTCTCTTTCCTTTCATTCAACAAATACCTAACGAATGCCAACGAGGTACCAGCCAGTGCTGGGGAGGCGGCAGGGACGGAACCCCTGCCGTCACAGAGCACACGGTTTAGGGGGTGCAGGGAGCCGGCAGGCCCGGGCAGTGACCTGACTTGCTCTCTGTGCCCCCAGGACTCCTCCTGGACGCCACCAACGACTTCAGCTACGTTTTCTACATGTCAAGTTTCTTCCTCATCTCGGCCGCCCTCTTCATGGGTGGCAGTTTCTGTGTCCTGGGCAAGAAGGAGCGGCAGGGGCCACGGGCTGAGGCCGAAGGAGCCGTCCCAGCAGCTGCCCCGGAGCAGCGCCTCGCCGTGGAGGACACGGGCAGTCCGGAGAATCGGCTGTGTGTCGAGATCGTGTATGTGACCAGCGTCTGAGCCCCGGGGTCACTCACCTGTGTGAGCAGCTTCCGAGCCCTGAAGTCAGCGAGTCCTGCCTCAGCCCAGGAAGCGGACATCTGGCTGCTTCACCAGAGGCTGGGGTGAAGGGCTGCCCAGCAGGCCTGACCCGAAGGCCATCCCGGCTCTGCAGGTCGGGACTCAACCAGGAGCTGGGACCTCAGAGGCTGGCCTCCAAACACTCAGGATTCCTTCCAACGAGCAGAATCCAGGAGCAGGTCCTCCTAACTTCTCCCTTGGGCACCAGAGCCCCTGGGACCTAGGAAGGTGGGTCTGAGCCCAGCTCCCGTCTGTCACGGCCAGCTTGGCTCAGCCGCCTGCCTGTTTGCTGCTGCTACAGCTCAAGACACTGGACCCTTCAGTCCAGCCTGGATGCCTGCCATGTGATCTCTTTATCCATCACTCTCCAGACAGTTCCGGAGAGCTCACCCCTCCTCCGAGTCCCTCCTGCTCCCCCTTCTTCCCAGGTGGCTCAGCCCTTGCCATAAGGGCTGCCCCCAGCACAGGTTGCTGGGCCCCTTGCTGCCTGGGACCTTGGCAAGAAGGGCCTCGAGAGAGAAGAAGTTGTGACAGAGGGCCAGGCGGAGGTGTGGGCCCGGATGCAGGGCGTGGACAGATTAAATGTCGGGTGGGGAACCTGTGCAGAGAACTGGAGGGGAGCCCCTGGCTTGGGCCCTAGAATCACTCAAGGCTGAGAGACCTCTGCCTGCTCAGGGCCTGCTCGAGGGTCTCCTCCCTCCTTGGCCCCAGCCTGTATCTCAACTGGAAGATCAGTGTTAAGTGCAGGGAGCCAGCCATCAGAAGTGGGGAGGAAGGGTTGCTGGGCAGGGCCCCAAGACCTCTGTGAAATTGAGCTGCTTTCGCAACAGAAGCCCTTTCACTCCCCTCTCCTGTCATTCTTTTCCCCCTGCTGTGTCAGAGGCGTCAGCCCTGGGGTAAGGAGCCGGCTGGGCCACCCGCCAGGCCACCCCTGGTCCCCGTTGGCCTGTGCATGGGGCCTGCAGGTCAGAGCTCCCTCTGCACACACATATTCTTTTTGCCAGTGCCTTCTCTGAGGTCATCATCACATGGGAGCTGCCTGTCATCAGCCCAGGCTTGTCACAACAGGGTACCAACCGAGGGAATAGAAAAACAGAGTTTGTTTGAATTATACACACAGGAACATTTTCTGCATCGGGTTATAAACCCTGTGAAGTAATGATGCTGAAAAATGGCCTGGAGTGTTTGCTCCCATCCCCCTTCAGGGCTACTCCCACCCTGGACCTTGTTTGTTGATTCAAGCTCAACTGGGTTTTAGCAAGAAAGTCTTATCAGGAGAGAACTGATTTTCTTTTTATGACCTGCTCCAGCCCTCCTCCTGCCCAAGTCCAACTGGCATGAGTAAGCACTCTTCTGGATATTGTCTTTTCCAGGACCCAGGAGTACCCCCTTATGGCCAAAAAAGGTAGTACAGAGGTGAGGCAAAGGGCTCTGAGCAGGAATGAACCTGAGTTGATGTTTGACTGCCACGATTTGCTGCCTTGACTCTGGGCACCCAGAAAACAGAGAAGGTTGGCCTAGATAAGCTAANAGTTCATGTCAGTCACTCAGTCGTGTCCGACTCTGCGACCCCCATGAACCGCAGCACGCCAGGCCTCCCTGTCCATCACCAACTCCCGGAGTTTACTCAAACCCATGTCCATCGAGTTGGTGATGCCATCCAGCCATCTCATCCTCTGTCGTCCCCTTCTCCTCCTGCCTTCAATCTTTCCCCAGCATCAGGGTCTTTTCCAAAGCCTCAGGGAGGGACAAGTAACGAAGGATGTGATGGCCCATCAGATTCCAGAACCCACACTTGGTTGATCCTGGGATTCCTCCAGAGAAGGTCTAGAGCAGTTCCTGACCAGTGTGGGGTACCACGTCTGTCCTGTCCCTAGGTCTTTACTGCCCCATCCAGACAGAAGCAGAGAAGCCCCCTGGCCGCCTTGGGCTGAGATAAAATACTTCCCCAGGTCGAATCAGCTCTCCTTAGAATGTGAAGGGCCTGGTGAGGAGCCTGGGGCCACTGCCCTGCAAGAAGCAGCCAGAGTCCCCAAGCCNCCTGGCCGCCTTGGGCTGAGATGAAATATTTCCCCAGGTCGAATCAGCTCTCCTTAGAATGTGAAGGGCCTGGTGAGGAGCCTGGGGCCACTGCCCTGCAAGAAGCAGCCAGAGTCCCCAAGCCCCAGGTGTGTGCATAGGGCTGGGGCTGATCACAGGCACCTGGGCCCACCAGGTGGGGGCTGCTCCCAGGGGGGCTGTGGCAAGCTGGAGTGTGGCTGTCACTTTGTCCTTGCACAAGGCCCTTGCCCTCCAGAAACTCACAGCCTAAGCCGCTTCTATCCCCACATTTTCAAGCACCCTGGAGTCCGAGAGGGCCACCTTCCTCCCTGGTGCTCTGTCCCCTATGCCTGTGAAGTGTGGGTCACCTGCCCCGTTCCTGAGAAACCCCGAGAAAGGACTAGATAGAAGGGCTTCAGCATTCTGGGCTCCCCACAATCCAGAAAGCCACCAAAGTGGTATTTCTGGGGTTTGATGGTGCTGCCCCGGGTGTGCCCCGCCACCTGGCAGGCTCAGCTCGGGGTTGGGGAGCAGAGGATACCAGGCTCACTGACTTTTGTTTTCATCTTGCCCTCGCCGCGGGCATATAGGGTCATAGTTCCCCCACCAGGGATCCAATCGTGTCCCCTCCACTGGGAGCACAGAGTCTTAAGCACTGAACCACCAGCGAAGTCCTCACTGGGCTTTTGGGAAGAGCCGACCAGAAGGTAGTGTCAGAAGACCCACAGAGGGGACATAAGGAGCCGACGCTCGGCGTCTCCAGGGCGTCCCTTGATGGTGGAGGGGCGGGGACTGCGGCCGAGCGCGGGGGCATCTGAAGGTGCTTCTACCCCGACAGTCTCCCACACAGGCGACCCCTGGCACCTCTGAGCTCCTAAGGGCTCTAGGGGCACGCCTCAACATAACCGCAGGCTTCAGTGACCACTTCCATCAAGAGGCGGATCGCCGCCTGCAAGAGACAAAACGCTGGAAGCGGGCAGCGCAGGAATACTCAGCTCAGCGACGGCCCCACCGGCTCGCCGCCTCGCCCCGCCCCTTACACATCGCCCCGCCCCTTCCGCCCTCTGGGCGGGGCTAAGCGCCGCTTCTCCCGGAAGTCCGGGACCGAGCCGAACGTCCCGCCCAGCTGGGCGCTGCCCCTCCCTCCTACGGCGCGCGGGTGGGTCCTCGTCTCCTGCTCCCCAACTTAGGTGTTCGGTCCCAACTCCTACGAGGTCTTGAGGCCCCACCGCGTCCCCCACAGCCCAGTCTCAGCTGCAAGCTGCTGCAGAGCCTGGAGCCAGGAAAGGAACCCGTTTCCCCTCCCTGGCCCCGCGGAATCAGGTGGGGTCCTCGCCCCTCTCCCCAGCCTCGCCTTCCACACTCTCCCGCCCGCTCCTTGGGGCCCCTCGCCGCCCGCGCATGGCCCAGAAGCCGAAGGTAGACCCCCACGTCGGTCGGCTGGGGTACCTGCAGGCGCTGGTCACGGAATTCCAAGAGACGCAGAGCCAAGGTGAGTGCCTCGGGGTGGGGGGGGCAGGGGGACCGGGCTGGGGTCCGGCCGCGACCACCGCCCGGGCCCTGGCGCCACTGCCCGCTTCTCCACCGCAGACGCCAAGGAGCAAGTGCTGGCCAACCTCGCCAACTTCGCCTATGACCCCGCTAACTACCAGTATCTGCGGCAGCTGCAGGTCCTGGATTTATTCCTCGATTCGCTGTCGGAGGAGAATGAGACCCTGGTGGAGTTTGCTATTGGTAAGGATGGGGCGGTCTCCTAGGTGCCTGATGAGATAACAGAAGTGAGTTGTTGGGAAAGGGCTCTCTTAGGGCCTTACTTAGGCCGTCTCTCAGCAGCGAAGGCAGACTTTCGTAGTGTCTGTAATGCCTCTGAGGCCCACACAGCGTCCAGGTTCACAGGTGGCTTGAGTCTGGCCTGGAACCCAGGCCCAGGACCGTTTCTACCTGTCTACCTTCCTTCTCGGTTAGAGGTGAGATTATAAATGGGAATGGATTGAAGCCCCTTGGAGGGAAAAAAAAGAAGTTGAGCGCTCTTTTAAAACCTCTTTATCTTGTTTCACCATCAAGAGAAATAACAGTTACTTGAAGGGCTTATGGCACCTGTAGTTGTTCTGACGTCAGACCTATTGAATTATTCACCCGACAGGTGTTTGTTGGGCAGGTACGGTGTGAGCAAAGTGTTGTTCTAAATGCTGGGGAGATGGCCAAGAAGTTGGGAAAAAATCTTTGCCCTCAGGGAATTTACATGCTAGCAGAGGGAGACACATGGTTGACAAAAAAGCTGAGGTGCTGAAGGAAACAGGCTGATGAAGAAGAGCAAGGGGGGGAAGGGACTACTTCTGGTTTGGCCCTGGCTGGAAGGCACAGGCCAGGCCAAGACCCTGGAGCAGGAGGAGCCAGAAGGAAGGCTGATGCGGCACCACTGTGGTGAGTGAAGCTGAGAGCGGTACTAAATGAGAGAAGGATTTAGTGCTGCTAAATTAGAGAGCACCTCGCACCAGCTTACGGGGATTCAGATCTAGGCATTGGGCTGGAGTTTGGAGTTTATTCTGAGGGCAAACCAACATTCCTGGGACTTCCCTAGTGGTCCAACAATTAGGACTTTGCTCTTCCACTGTAGGGGCTGCGGGTTCCATCCCTGGTTAGGGAACTGAGATCCTGCAAAAAGCAAAAACTGACATTCTTTTTTCAGCATGTGTCTTTAAAAAAGAACATGTCTCTGCATAGTGAAAGGAATCTTATCTTCATAGGGAATAAACTTAATAATTCCATTGTCACCAAATACCCAGTTAGGCAGACTTCTCTAATAGTTCCCAAGTGGACATTTTTTGTTGTTGTTTTGTATAAACCAGGATCCGTGCTCTTAATCTGATTGTTATGTTCCTTAGATCTCAATCTCTTGCTCTCTTTTTAAATAAACTTTGTGTTTTAGAACAGTTTTAGAAAAATGGCGAAGGTAATATAGAGTTTCTATGTATGCACACCCAGTTTCCTTATTATTACCTTCTTACATTAGTATGGTACACTTGTTACAATTAATAAGCCAATATCAGCAGTCCTGTCTAACTCTTTGCAACCCCATGGGCTGTAGCTCCTGCCAGGCTCCTCTGTTCATGGAATTTCCCAGACAAGAGTACTGGAGGTGGGTTGCCATTTCCTCCTCCAGGGGATCTTCCCGACCCAGGGATAGAACCTGTGTCTCCTGCATTGGCAGACAGATTCTTTACCACTGAGCCACCTGGAAACCCCTATTATTAATTCGAGTCCGTACTTTATTCTGATTTCCTCAGTTTTTCCCTCATAACCTTTTACTGTTTCAGGAGTCCATCCAAGATACTATGTTAGATTTAGGCTCCTTTGGGCTGTGCCAGTTCTAGACTTTTTCTTTTCGTGAACGACCTTGGCAGTTTTAAGGAGTATTGGTCAGGTATTTTGTAGGTTTTCCTTTAGTTGCGATTTGCCTGGCATTTTTCTCGTTATTAGACTGGGATATGAGTTTTGGGGAGGATGACTACAGAGGTAAATGGTAAGAGGCCATGATATATCTCCTCTAACTAAAGCTCTTTTGGGAGGTGCTTCCCATGTGGGATCTTAGTTCCCTGACCAAGGATTGAACCTGTGCTCTCTGCAGCGGCAGTGCAGAGTGTTAACCACTGGACCACTAGGGTCTCGACTCTGGAGAAAACTTTGCTAAAAAGAGCAGCCAGCCAAGGCGAGTTTTTACAGGATCAGGAAGCACCTTTCCCAAGGCAGGAGCCCTCTGAGATCCCGGCCCACTGGGCTGGGGGCTCCCAGTATGGGTAACCACGCCCTGGACCTGGAGTCCACGGTCCCCACTTCACTTCATAGCTGATCCTTGTGTATGAGTCCTATCTCTTCTGAGCTTCGTTTCCTCATCTGAGCCTTGCCTGCCTCGCAGGACTGCTGTGGGGAGCAGAGCTGTTGGGTTTGTGTGTCTGTGAAGGTACTTTGTCTAGAATCGTTTGTATCCTTATCACCAGTTTTCCTTTTCACAGCCGCTTTTCCTCCTGTTTTTTCTCCTTCTTTCTAAGGTCCCCAATCCCAGGAGCAACAGCTTTCTTAGCTCTGCGTCCCTCCATGGGGTCCTCTGCAGATGAAATTTCTTTTTTATTTATTGTGCATAGATTGGAAGTCCCAGTGGTGCTAAGAAGCCTATTTTGTTACTCTTTTTGTTTCCTTTCTTGTTGATGTCTGTGGCGCTACATTGCAAACACTGTCAGTGCTTATCCTGCCCTGTGCTTTGTAGCTTGGAATCTTTTCTCTCTGGTGGCAGGTCTGAGATTGTGATCTCCATGAGGTCAGAGTGCTCTGCTTATTTTTGTCTTGAGTGCTCAGGCTTTTTGGTCTGGAAAGAAAGAGAGGATGGGGTGAGTGCACATGCAGAGTCCTGCCCCTGACCTGGGGCTGGCACCCTGAGTGGGGCTGCTTCTGGAACAACTACTGGGTAAGATTGGCCATCGCCACGGTTTGGCGGAATCAAACCCAGTGTTGGTTTGTTGGCGCAGAAGAGAGTGAGTTTGGTAGGAGCAGGGCTTTGGGGTCAGGCAGGCCTGGGTTCAAGTCCTCACTCCGAGACTTAACTCTAGGCACGTGACTTCCCTTCCACCATCAGTCAGGTGGGCAGGATCAGTACCTGCCTCACAGAATTGTTGAGAATTATATGAGCTGAAGTGCCTGCAGCTGCATGGCCTCCTGCTATCCAGACCTTTTTGAGGATAAGCAATTCGCTCATCTCCCAGAGACTGAAGTGGGATAGTGTCTCATGACCCATTTGTTCCAGGGATTCGTTCCTTCTGGAAAAGCATCACTGAGTGATAGGAAAAGGTATGAAAGTTGACCCCTAGCCTCACAGTGGGTGTCCGGGCAGTATTAGGAGGACATACCCCTGGGTGACGGGCACTGGTCAGGCCAGAGCCACCCTTGTTTGGGTCGGAGGATGGAAAGTGGATGGATTATCAGGAACCAGATGCAAAGCCAGGATCTCAGTAAACACTCAAATGAATGTAAGGATTCCGAGCTCATGCCCCAGATAAAACCTCTGGCAGGCTTTGGCATCAGTTTGAGAGCATTGGCCTGAAGAACCACTGGTTGATTCTGTCTTACCTGCTGTGTGTGCATACCTGCACCATTCTAGATGCTGTGTGGATTGTAAACAAGCCAGGAGATAACTCACCGCTTCTATGAAAACTGAATCCTAGGATATCACAGAGTACTTGACAGTTTTGTTACCAAAACAGAGTTCAAGTAGCAGGGACCTCCCACAATTCAGCTTAAATCCTTTTTCCTGTGTTCTATTTCTTGCAATACTCGTAGCTGCCACCAGATGGTGGTGGTGTACTGAAAAAGACTGGCGGATGACGCCTGAGCCGCCTCTCTGGAAAACAGTATCTAGTGTAATTGAAGGGAGGCATGCCCCCTGATCCGGCAGTTGCATTCACAGGGTTAGGTCCAGGCACGTGTAGACACATAGGCAAAAATGTCACCAGCAGTATTGTCTGTAATAGCCCCAGCCTGCAAACAGTCAACACTGGGATGAATATCAATATTGTGGATGTTCATACTACTTGGCAAGGTAAATGAACAATCTGCACAGCTCCATGCAATTATCCTGCAAACATAATGTTAAGCACATGATGCTAGACACATAATAATATGTACAGCATAACTCCATTTTTATAAAGTCCAAAAAGAGGCAGAACTGAATTATAGCATTTAGCAGCGGGTGTGTGGTTAAAAAAGAAAAATATTTGGAAGATCCCGAGAACTCCCTGGTGGTCCAGTGGTTAGGACTCTGTGCTTTCACTCTCGTGGCCTAGGTTCAACCCCTGATAGGAGAACTAAGATCCACAAGCCACACAGGAAGTAAAAGGTCCTGTTTATTACAAGTCAGGAAGGGGTTCACCTCTGAGAGGGAGAGAATTCAATCCAGAAAGAATGTGCAGAGGCGCTGGACTGCTGACTATGCTCCAGTCCTTGACCTCAGCGCTGGTTACGTGCGCACTTGGGCTCTCACTGTTCACCTCTGCCTGTGTGTGCGTGGCAGGTGTGCCCTGGGCCATTCTCCGGGGCTGTAAACAGGGGCGTGGCTGGTCCACCTCTACTGGGTGCCAGAGAGGGGTCTTCCATTGTCTAATCCTCTCTGCCCGTTTTACTGATGAAGAAACTCAGGCTTAGAGAAATGGAGTTGCTTGCTCTGCTCACTTGAATCTGCAGGGGGCGTTCCTGGGATTTTTAGCTAGCTCCGCCCACCACAGAGCCCTTGCTCCATCCCCGGAACTCTGGGGTCCCCGGGGAACCTGCTTCTCTCATTGGTCCTTTAGGGGCCTGGGATCGCACATCTTTCAGCTTAAAAACAAAAACAAAAACCTCCCCAACCCGCCACCAGTTACAGGAAAGCTGAAGTCGAGGTTCTCGCCCCATCACTCCCTCGCGCGCCCCTGGGAAGGCTGACGCCAGGCCCCTCTGCCCTCCCGCCCCCCTTCCTCTCAGTTCCAGGCACAGCAGGGTGTGTCTGTGTGTTTCACTCACGTTTGTGAATATGTAATGGGGTCACCCGGTACAGAGTTCAGAAGGGTAGGTGGTAAACTGTAACAGTTTGTAGCCTTTTCTGGAGGCAGCCATGTTACCAGTTTCTTGTGTATCCTCCCAGAGGTATTTGCAGGATTTATAAACAAATATGTATATGTTTGTATACTATGTATACATTGTATGGCTTA